GGAGGGGGCAGTGAGTGAGAAATTCAAAACAATTCACTTTTTCTTGAGACCGTCCCCAACTGCATGAAATTTATTTTTAGGATGCCCCCATGAACTCCGTAATCCATGTCGAATAATTAATATTCTGTGGTCCTATTATTATTTTATTCTGTTCTTGACATATTTTGATTTTGAGTCTGCCCACATTCAACTAAAAATAATACAGACAGCCATTTTCTCAAGCACTGCCCCCATTATTAATTAATGACTGGTCCCTAAAGGCTGTTTCTTATATTTTGACCTTAAATGTGACCATTTCCTACTTTTATTTTGTAGCTTGGAAAATAGAAAAGTGATGCATTAAAGATGAACTGGCCACAAATTGCTAGAAAAAATGCCTTGGACATTATTTCTCTTAGGAATACTACCATCACACTTCTGTCCTGGACTAAATTCAGTATCATCAACTTCATAAACATTAGTTTGTTTCTTTGATAGGCGTTTGGCTTCAGAGTAACTTATGATACTATTAACATTATATCCATATGTATACGCTGTCATGTTGTTTGTACCACCACACGCCTGCCTTTGCATTGAGAAGAATGACTTTACTATATCTTGGCATACTCTCTATAGGAATGATGTAGAGATGACTGCCATGGAGGGATTTAAATTCATGTGTACCAATGAATTTGATCAATTCTTTAAATCCATTGATTGTGACCTGAAAATATAATTTACTGACTGAGAATAAGTTCATATGCAGTCATCATTGGATTAACCAATCAAGTTTCTACAGTATACACCCAAGGTCGTTGCTAAAGGGAATGGACACTATTTATCAAATTGTTTAAATGCAAAAGAATCAACAACCATACACTTATAACAATCGAATTCTAATATGAACCCTAAATAAAGCAATCAATTACAGTTTAATTAAATTTTTAAAACCTCCCTCTCGTCCATCCCATGTGATATTTAAGATACGTTGGGGGTGCATTCTGACAAGAGAGGCTAAGCAAACATACTGTAGGCTAACCATAACTGTGTTAAGTATATGATTTTAATTTTTACAATAATTATGAGCTGTAACTGTAAGCTTCCAAAATTCTGGCCAAATTCACCATGTTTGATTTTGACTTTTTTCGAAATAATTTTTTTTGTAGTTTGATTGTATATCCAAACTATAATATATACATATATATAATTTACCTGTATATCAAACATTGTTTGCCAACTAATAAAATGACATTATTGTTCAGATTTTGTTTTAAAGATGGAGGCCAATTCATACCTCCGAGTTGAAAAATTGAGGACATTATCTAGGGCTTTGATACGTGAGTCTTCGAGTGATGTCAATGGTTTTGTATCATTGAAGACATTCCACAATGTCTCACAGTTTAGAATATATTTCTGAGTGGATTCTGTGGCATCATTATCATATTTAGCCATGTCCTTTTGAACCTTTGAATTTAGAACGTGAACTGCCAGCTTCACTCGAATTTACTTAAACTATCTAAGTGCACATGTGAACACCTAATGTCTGTTGAAAATATATGTCTTCGCTTGTCTCGCAAGTAAACAGAATAAATATGTTCCCACAAAATGTTCTTTGAATTCAGTGACAGGCACCTAGTGTATCTGGGAGAGTTTTCCTTGTAACCACTGTTATAAATATTGTTACGGAGCTTCTTGATAGGGTGGGGGAGGATCAGACATAAAAAACAAAGGAAAGTTGAAAATGGATTGTTAATCTTGCTTACTGTTTCGCTACACCCATTGATTGCCCTAAATGCTCTGTTTTTGGAAGCTCCGTCGCAACACGTAAGAAGGACGTCGAAGTTGAAAGAATGAAGAAAACTAACTCCTTGCCAAAATATTCGGTTTAAGTCATGAGCTGAAATTCCATTTGTAAAGAAATATGAACAAGGGAATTGAAAATTACTAAACAAACTTTTAAAGTAGAATTGTAATACATGTGTTGCCAGGCTTTCTTGTACTGAAGATTTTGTCACGTTGCCATTTGAAGTGACACTTTTATTGCTACCTATGTCGGTGAAACCAATCGACTCCCATGATGATGGGTCAAAGAGCAGTCCCTCTTTAATTTTCACTTCGTCAAAGAAAAGACCACCAAACTTTCCAACTTCTGAAACACCCTGTTTTGCAAAACTTTCTCTCATAGCATCTGTTGTATTATTGTTTAATATGTTAATTTATCTATAAACTTAGCTATATAAGAGTTGCGGTACTCACATTAGTGTTAGTCTAATAAATGTTATTGATACGGATGTACAAACATAACATGGTGTCAGGAGTGGAATCCTGAATAGAAATCGTAGAGTTTGGAGGAGTTTATTCCAAAAATGGATAAATTAAGACAACCTCCTGAGTTGCAATTCGTTTCGAGCGATGGTGATTTGTCTGAGCGGTGGAAAAGATGGATACAAACAGTCAATTGATACATGAATGTCTGCATGAAAGACGCATCTGAGAAAGAGAGATGCAGCGGTTTCTTATATATCATTGGTCAAGATGGCATAACACATTTGATTTTGAGAAGAGCGAAGTAGACAAAATAAAACCGTTAATACAAAAGTTTGAAGATTATTGCATACCGAAGCAGAATACAACAATGCAGCGATACAAATTTAATAAACGTGTGCAAAGCGAAACCGAATCAGTTGACCAATATGTTACGGAACTACGGCTTTTGGCGAAAAACTGTCGTTTTGGAGAACTAGAAGAAGAGTTAATTCGGGATCGAATCAATTGTGGCATAAAAGCGGACAGACTTCAAGCTCGAATGCTTCGAGAAGACAATTTAACTTTAGACAAATCCATTAGCATATGTAAAGCAGACGAAGAATCGCGTAAACAACTTAAAGACCTAACGAAAGATGACAGTTTTAAAGTAAGTTCAGTGAAGAAAAGTTCAAGAAAAGGGAATATTGAAAGCAGACCAGCGAAGTTTGGGCGAGAAAAACAGAAGATATCCTCGAGCGGCTCGAGCGAAGTAATAAAATGTAGCAAATGCGGGCGAGACCATCCAAGCAAGCAATGTCCAGCATATGGCAAAGTCTGTCATGCATGCAGAAAACTAAATCATTTTGCGAAGTGTTGTCGCTCAAGAAAAGTACATGGAATTGATCAAATGCATACAGATCCGGATATTCTATTTGTTGGAACGGTTGATAAGAAACCCGAACAGTCGACTAAAACAGAATTGACGAAAGACGAGTGTTTTATAACTCTAGAGGTTAATGAAACACCGATCAAGTTTAAAGTTGACACAGGATCTCAAGCGAACATAATTCCCATGTCGATGTACCGAGAATTGAAAGGGCCTAAAGAACCAATTCAGGCATCAAGGACCTCATTGACAAGCTACACTGGAGATAAGCTTAATCTTGTTGGCAAATGCACGTTGAAATGTATGAACAGACGGCCGAATTTTTTCGTGAGTGAAACAGATCAGTATCCTATGCTGGGTATTCAAGCGTCGCAAGAACTCGACATAATCAAAGTTGTGATGAGCACTAATAAAGAGCTCCGGAGATCTTAAGGAGAAATACTCCGATGTATTCAAAGGCTTGGGTTGCCTGAGGGAGCCATATCACATTGAAATGGATCCGGAGGTATCACCTGTAATAAATGCAGCGAGAAAAGTTCCTGTAGCAATAAAAGGTCGTTTAAAGCTTGAATTAGAAGATATGGAGAAGCAAGGAGTTATTCGTAAAGTGGACAGACCGACTAACTGGGTCAACTCAATTGCAATAGTGGAGAAACCAGGCACGGGGAGACTACGAATATGCCTACACCCGAAGCATCTAAATGAAGCGACAAGACGGGAACATTTCCAATTACCAACGGTAGAAGAAATAGCTTCTCGGGTATCGGGTGCGAAAGTGTTCTCCAAACTAGATGCAAGACATGGTTATTGGCAGATACCATTGGATGAGCCAAGCCAACTTCTAACGACGTTCAGCACACCATTTGGCAGATATTGTTTCACGAGAATGCCTCTCGGCATTAAATCTGCGCAGGAAGTTTTCCAGAAGAGAATTTCGCAGCATCTTGATGACCTCGAAGGCGTAGCCACTGAGATTGATGACATACTCATTTGGGGATCCGATGAACAAGAGCACGACGCACGATTAGAAGCCACCTTACAACGATGTGAAGAAATAAACCTCACATTAAATGCAGACAAGTGCAAGTTCAATGTGAATGAAGTATCGTATTGTGGTCACAACTTCACGAAAGACGGTGTGAAACCTGACGAGTCGAAGATTAAAGCAATTCAAGATATGCCAACACCCTCTTCGAAGAAGGAGATTGAAAGATTACTTGGAACTGTAAATTACTTAGCAAAATTTGTACCTAACCTAGCAACGATAACAGCGCCAATCAGAGAACTGCTGAAGAAAGATATCGAGTTCTAATGGTCGCACGAGCAGACAAAAGCTTTTGATGAGATTAAAGAAATTCTTACCCAGCAACCAGTTCTAAAGTTTTTTGATCCAACTAAACCGGCTATAGTGCGTTGTGATGCTTCGCAGAATGGACTTGGTGCAGTTCTGATCCAGGAAGAACAACGGATTGCCTATGCGTCTCGTTCTATGACTGAAGCAGAAACCGGATACGCACAAATTGAGAAAGAACTACTCTCTGTTTTATTTGCTCTTGAAAGATTCAATGCGTACACCTATGGCGTGAAAGTTCTTGTAGAAAATGACCATAAGCCACTTGAGATCATTTTAAAGAAATGCTTACATGACGCTCCTCTCAGATTGCAAAGGATGTTGTTAAGATTACAGAAATATGATTTTACCTACAAGCATAAGCCGGGCAAGGATCTTGTGGTAGCGGACACTCTATCACGGGCACCACTTCCCACTACAGATTCAGAGTTAGAGAAAGAAATATCTTGCTATGTTCACATGGTGATGTC